TTAACGCGAGAACAAGTGAATTTCAACAAGACTCTCAGCATGACAAGAGTGGTGGTGGAGAATGCCTATGGAAGGCTAAAGGGTAGGTTCAGAAGAATTGCAAAGAGGCTGGACCTTAACGTTGAGACTGTTTGTCTTGTCATTGCTGCCTGTTGTGTGTTGCACAACTTCTGTGAAGTCATGGGTGAAGACTTTAATGAGGAGTGGCTGCAAGGTGTGCAGCTCCATCTTGGTGTTTACCCAGTCAATCCAAACCAAGGACAAAACAGGAATGCTGTAGCCATCAGAGAAGCCATCAAGACATCTTTATTGTAATTACTGTGTGAATAGCCTCCCATGCAGACATTGTTTTGGCTTTTCAGGCAACCTCTCCTAACAATGTCTGCTTGGGAGGCTAAAAAACAAAACAAAGTGGTAACTTTATTACCAACACAAATTACGGTGCAGACCTGTGTTAAATTTTGCTTATAAAATTGTTGTAGCTGGAAATTCTATGGTCATGCAAGTTTAATTAAAGAAAGATTTTAGCTATTACATGTACTTTGTGAATCCAGAAACCATGATCAATTCAATAATTTTGGACTTTGACATTTTAATTGTGTATTTACCAATCACATGCAAGAGAAAACCACACATAAAAAAAGCAATCAACACACTTAATTACCATTTAAAGCTGGCTTGAGCCACACCCTGATTTATCTCATTTAGGGATTCTTTTCAATCTAGGGAATTTTTTCAAATTTCAGAAGGGCAACTTTGCCTCTTAATTAAAGACTCCCCCCTCCCACTGTAACCAGGTACTTACATTCTTTTGACCATAAAACATCTTGAAATCTTGCATCCTTTACAGAGCATTTGCTCAGCACTGCAATCTATTTGTGTGGGGGTTAAATCTTACATTGAATAGTCATTTTAAACTGTTGTAGCTGTTTTGTTGCATTTGTTTTATAATAATAAAGTATTCTTAAATCAACAATATACAGAAAAAGAGTACTCTATTCTGATTATCAAATTATAGTGTGACATGAAATAATTTAAACTGAATTGAGGTGAAATCAAATACTTAAGAGGGTATATCAGTTATGGAAGAGTACTATACATACATTAAATACTAGATATGAATTGTATGAAGGCCTGCAAAAATTTGTTTTCAGCAGTAAATTTTTAAAAAATTCATACAGACTGAATTTGTGAAAAAGCAAGACATTGAAAATCACAAAAAAATAATTTATACCAGACTGTTAGAATATTATATCAGCTGGGGCAGTGTAGTCACATGTAGATTGAAATATTTTACAGATACTGTGGCCCTGTTTAGGTCCAAATATTCAATTCCATGATGTGACACAGCCCCTTTAGTAACTTACAGTTAATTGACAGAATTTTCACCCACCAGTAACTTGAAAAAAAACTCTTGTGAAAATTTATTTCAAACTGACTTTGAAACCTTCTCAGAGCCTGCAAGCAACTGAGAGCAGTAAGAAGAGGCTGTATTTCTTACAGTACATTCAACACTTCTGACTGGGAGAAGGGTCGTATGATTGATAATATTATAAATCAAGTGTATTTTCATGGAGTAACAAGAATGCCATAAATTGAAGTTTCTATAGTGTAAGAATTTTGTGTGTCCCACTCAAGCAGAACTTGATTCTTATTTTTGTACTCAGGTTAGTTCATGTGATTTCTTGTACATCTATATACAGTTTATAGGCATGTATATGTTGTAGTTTAATTTTATACTTAATTGGTTCAAATTTTATTTTCCTTTGTTCTCGGTCATGTTCAGCTCTCTGGTGTTTTTAGCTACTTATACTTATTTCAGAGAGTTGGTAACCCTTAAACAAGTTTATCAAAAACTTTTTTTACAAATGACTGTAATTCCTAAATTATGGAGTAATAAAGTTCTTGTTGTTGTTCATGTTAATGTATGATAGTGAGTTTGAAACAAAGGAAAATAAAATTTGAACCAAGTATGAAATTTAACTACAACATATACATTATCGTCATTGTATTTTGAGATGGACTCTTGATGAATTGCAATTCCTGGACATGAAATAAGCAAAGTTCTATTGATTCTGTATTGACTACTACATTTGTAAATTGAGGAATATTGGAATTCCCTCGGAGTTAGATTTAGAAAAATAATGTGGAATAAGTACTGAAATCACTGGAATTCTTAGTAGGTAAACAAAAACTGTAGGAAATTCTTCAATAATAGACACATACATAACATTAAGTGTATTTCTTGGGGGAATCCCATGTCTGACCCCCTACAGTGGCCCATAAGTGCAAAACACAACACAAACACTGAAAACACAACACACACAAACTGAAAACACAAAACACAGT